GACCCACAGTCTCTCAATGTCTGCAGCAAGCACAGGCTTAGTCTGTTTTACCAACCYTTCTCTTTTCTTCTCCTCCCTGCCCTTCTGTCCTTCAATTTTCTCTCGACTTCCCCATTAGGGGAGGAAAAAAAAAGTTATTGAAGTAAAATTCTCTGCTGCAAGAGAAATTTAAATGCCATGTGTTAAACCAACTATTCCTTATGTCTTCAGTAAAGCGAGCTCCAGTGTTTTATTTCTCGAAGGCAGCACGATCTGCGCATTTGAGATTCTTAATATTCCCCTCCTTCCCAAGGGGAGAGCAGGGACAAAATTARTTTCAGCTCAGCAGATCACAGTGGTTTCTTAAGAGTTAACTCTGCTATCCCCATCCATCAGRCAGCCAGCGAGGCATCAGGAAGGAATGATGGATGTAAAATTATTACAGGGCTGCCACCCGATATACTTACTGCCATTTGTAACTAACGCTGGAACTGACACACTTTTTTCATTATTAAACATCCACATTAAGTCAACATTGGTCACTGTCATTTCATGTTTGGCACTCTCTTAAGGGGAAGAAGGAGGGGTGGGGGTGGGAGTGGGGAGGATGGTGGGAGGAGGGGTGAGTGGGAATAGGAGGAAAGACATCCTGAACCCAGTGTTCCATAAGCATGAGTAATAGGCTCCTGCTTACAATGCTGGAATAAATATTGTTACAAATAGCTCTTTAGTCACAGCCCAGCAGACAAGTACATGTCAGAGCCCTCTGAAAGGACACACTCCAAGCAATAACAGGGAGAACTTGTACCACAGGTACACACTCCAGCACAGGGGGTGTATTCGAACRTACTGAGCTCGGAGAGTGACTCCATCCCTACACGTCAGAAAGGCTCCTGTGGCTGTGTGTCCTTGCACGGCTGTCCCAGCCACTGCCAGCATTCAGAAACCTGTTTGTGCCAATTCACGTGTTCAAATACCTGCTTGTGTGCCCTGCTCCCCCCCGTCACAGAGCACATCCCTGTGAGTCTGGCTGCAGTCGGGAGTTACCGACTAGCGTCGTGCATGTTTGTGCCGTGTGTCCCCAAAGAGAGCATGTAGGCTGGGATCATGCACACACACGCTGGCTCTTTGTGTTTGTATACATCTCCCTCGCAATTTTGGGGCTGAACACAGAGGCCAGAGCTCCCTGCCTGATGCTGACTGTTGTGGTGCTTAGCCCAGCTGACAACCTGAGCTCTGAGCTATGTGTATAACAGGTAACACTGTTTATGTATAGTACATATCAAGCTATAATTAACTGTAGATGACAATTACAAATAAAACTACGCTCTAGGGTTTCCAAGAAACCAGAAAAACATATACACACACTTCTCATTTATACAGGGAAATGTTTCCAAGAAAAGTAATGTAAAAATATGTTTTACTGCATTTGCAATTAAAATAGGTTTTAGTGAAATCCATGTTCATCGTGATGCTCATAGTTTTTACTGTAATCCTCTGAAAATCAAATCCGTCAAGATGGTCCAAGTTGGATGCCCAAAAAGTGACTCACCCAAATAATCTTAACCATTTTTAAAAATGACTCCTAAAAGTTACTCCTTTTATACASTTTTTCTCTAATTCCACAAAATTCCTGTCTGACTACTGCCTTAGCTAGCATGTCTGGCTGCCCACAGGGCAACAGGAGCAAGATAACAGGACACATACAAAGAGCCCCAAGAGCTTTAACAGAAACTCCCAAAGGTGATTTCCAAGCCTGCCCAGCTACTCCTGGCAGATGAATGCCCACTGAGAATCTCACATACATGTTGGGAATGACGCAGAGCCCACCTCCACTGGGGCTGCAGCAGCAGTTCATGCAACAAAAAGCTCAACAGGTTTCAGAGACCCACAGGTCTCCCAAAGTACAATATCCACTGCAGCAAAGAAGGGAGGAACATTTGGGATATCCCCGAACAAGTGTTTGTTACCTATAAATGAAGTCACTCTACAGGAAGGAGAGCCTTTCTTCTGTACATAACTACAGACATAATGTGCATTTCTAAGTACTAATATGCTCAGGGACATACAGATATATATTAGGATAGCCCTCTCTCAATTCCACCCCCCCATCCCTAATTCTCCTGATCAGAAAGTAAAAGTGAGCATATAATATCAAAAGTTCAGGGGCTGCCACTTAGTCCCATGATGGGACCTTGAGCTTCTGAAAACAAAACTATCTAATAAAACTGTAGCACTATTTCTCACCTTCCCAACTATCTAATTCTCTGCCTTTGAAAATTTCATTAAAAATGGCAATACTTGCTTTCCTCTCAAATCTTGCTCTTAGTGAGAAAACTTTAAAGTCCTAGAGCAAAAAGACACGAACTTTAGAGAAGTTGGGTTGTTTGCCTGGATATGAACTTCACACATTAAAATAAATCACAGAATCAAAGAATCAATTAGGTTAGAAAACACTTCTAAGATCAYTGAGTCCAAATCAGTAAGCCCCAATAAAGTGTGGGCATTTATTGTATCAAAGCCCCCAAAGCCTACAGTTGCTTTAGAAAAATTTTCAATTGTGCAAACCATTTTTTTCTTCTTGCTACCTTGTAAAAGAACTCCTGTCTGCCCTCCACGAGCCCACCAGGAGGCATGAATTAGAGAGGAAAATAAACTTCAACTGAGGTTGAGGGTGAGAAGTGAAAACAGAAGGAGTAAGGAGAATCCCAAGAATAGGAAAGTAACAGAATAAAGTGAATGCAGATGGTTCCACTCCTGTTACTTAATCAAAAGGCTGTGCAGAGTCACTAGAGCCAGCATAAAGTCATGTGTTAGAACAACAGCTGATCTGTATTAAAGAAGATTAACTCGCAATGCCATGGTGGAGGGCCTGGGATTATTTTATGTGCTTCCATCGCCGAACAAGCCGTCAGCACAATTACTGCCCTCCGATGTGAATGACTGATCTGTAACCACAGCTAAACAGCATGCTGCTTAGGGGCCTGGGTGCTTCATGAAGATGAATTTCCATACCATCAAAGTGCTTTTAATGGGCTTCCTGATCCAACCACAAGGCCTGCTTTGCAAGTATATAGAACTCAGGATGAAGGCTTCCTGTCCAAAAGGATTTGGTCGGTTGTCACTTGACAATTCCCAGCCAGCACAAGGGAGGAGAGGGGGGAGATAGGTAGAGTTGTCTCTGCTTTGCAGGATTAAAAAAAGAGAAAAAAAAAAAGGAAAAAGGAAAAAAAAAAAGGGTACAGATGCTTTCTGAATGCAACCAACTGCTGTATCCACAGCTGAATTCAATGCGCTTAACAAATAACGGCAATTTAGCTATGCTTGCGAGGAATAGCTTGAGTCACTTTGCATTAGCATCTGGCTGAGTGTTAAAGTCATTTCTACATGGGGAGCAGAGAAAAGGAATTTCTGCTCCGAGCATCCTTTCAAGAATGCTTAAATATTTGAATATAAATTCCTTTGTGCTTGTGATCACTTCTTCTTATATCTGACACTCTGCTTTTCCCTTTTCCCTTCTGGTACTCTTCTCTGTGAAATGCCGTAAACATGCTCTATCCCTCTCCTTTCTCTCTCCCCATAGCAGCACCCTTATTCTTCTAAGAAAGAGTGTAAGCGATGCCAGATACCTATTGCACTGACCTCTTTTTTCCTTCCCCTTCCTCTTCAGAAAGTGCATGAAATTGGAGTAATTTCTACATCTCTCTCACCTAGGATAGGCTGATGAAAAAAAGTACAGTGGTGAGAGACTCACATGTACATTTAACATTCATTACCCAGGCTGCTGGCTTCTCACAGCTTATTGATCAAACTCCATCTAAAAACAGGGAAAATGGAAAGCCATCCAAATTAGCAATCTGCTCATTCTGGACAATATTGTTTGACTCACAAGCTTCCTAGGATGACTGGATTTCAAGTTTCTGCTAAATAGCTGATCATTTTTATTCAATCTATTTATCTGCCTGTCTCAGTGAATTGCACAAGACCTTACAGCAGAAGTGGTTTCAATAAAACGCAGTTGACACCAAATGTGACAACGGGGATCCTTGTACTGCACAACGACAGCTGTATCACCTCAGAAAATATTGCAGAGGAGAAGAGGAACTGAGGAGGAAGTCTTGCTAAGCACACGATGCTGAGATGGGATGTATATCTTAGGTGGCAGCATTATAAAGACAGCTCACTATAAATGTGGCAGCAAGCACTGGCAGGTCTATTTATCCTCCATAAGCCAGGGCAGTGCACAGAAAGACATCAGGCACTTCCAGAGAAAAGCAGCAAATCACAGCCCCACTGACATGCACGRCAGTTACAGCACAGACAAATTTTACTAGAGAATACCCACTTTGTTGGTATTTTGTCATAGCATAGCTTCACAGGCCAGTCCAAAAACAGAAGGTGGTGAGGCCCATACATTCTGCTGCCTGAAAGTTTCACTGCAAATATTGAGTGCAGTTTGTGTTGTCAATTCTCCGCTTTTTCAATTTTGTTAAGTCATCTAACGTGACATGACAGTGCTACATTGCAATGGTCACAAAATATCATATATGACAACCTCACAAGGCTAAATACCCAGAAGCTGAGCCTGAGTATCAGCAAAGCTTATGTTCCTAAAGAAGCTTGAATATTTTCAAATCCAGCTCATCTCACAAACACATGTAAGCATTTCCATAAAGCAAGATTTCCACTTAGACCCAGAGATTTCCAAGATCACCTTCTCTTAATACATGTTGACAGGCTGGAACAGAGAATTAGTGGCCTCCAAAGTTCTTGTGAGGGCTTTAACTATCTCTGCCTCCTCCCCACTCTCCCCCAGGGGTCTCCAAGTCTCTCTCTCAATGTCATCTTTTGGTTGTGGTTTTCATTTTGCTTGTCACTTTTTTTTTTAACTATTCTGTTTMAAAAATGGGGGAGAAAAATAGAATAAGAGAAGAGAGAGAGAGGAGGGAGGAAGAACCTGTATCTGTGGGGAGAGGAAATGCACACTCTTAACCTTGGCAAAGGGAGTCTGGGACACTCACCTTTTCTGTCCTGCAGTTATTGAGACCCAGGCTGTTCACCACGGCCACCTTCCCATCCAACACCTGCTGCTCCCTCCGAAGCTGCTCCTTCATCTGTCGGGCCTCCTGGATTGCCTTGGTAACAGCATCGTGGTCATTTAAATAACCTGACGACGTGATAGAAGAAAGGATGTCTTAAAAAAAGAAAGTYACAAGAAAACACTTTAGCTTTCATCAGTGGAATGCACACAGTTTTTCATTATTAATGAGAAAGAGTTAAAAGGCAATGCCCACAAACCCATCCGTGCTCTGTAATTGTGCTGTTGTTATGATAGAGCCACCTGGACATAAAGCCTGAGAAACCTYGGTGCCAAAATCCTCATTCCTGCTATTTGATCCCATTAGTTTCAATATTTCCCTGACACTGCAGAGGTTAGCCTCGTGGTTCGTATGCAGGATGCAACCGGATAAGAGTTAGGGGAAGCTTTGATCATGCCAGCAATCCCAAACTCTTTAAAATAGACTGTTTCATTCTTCCCCTACTTAAAACTTGTGAATACATTAAAATAAACCACAGGTGGCGGTGGTTTGCTATAGATATGAAATGCATAATGGCTGGGAAGAGAAACCTCATCCACTGACTGCTCCCCACCACCACCTGTCATTCACAAACGTATAAGAAACCACAGCTACACGGACCTACATTCCCACTCCTATTCATGCTGCTAATAGTAGGTCAAATGTCCACTGTTTTGCTGCAAATTCACAGCCTAGGGCTTAGCCTTAGTAGTCACTGAATTATTTCCTTTTAAAATGTTACAAGCATCACCGGCGCAGCTAATACTATTTAATTTTAAATGTGACACTTCGTCATTTTTTTTCCTTTAGCGTACTGTAGATTATACTTATTATGATCTGCATGTGATTTGCAGGATAGAATACTGATGGGAGACTCCAAGCCCCAGTCTATTTTTCAAATATTAAAGGAGAGGCTAATATCTATCAATCTCCCTCTCCCCCTCCACATCCCCAYACGTGTGCACATGCACACACTTCTTTCTGTCTTTTAACTAGGGCATAAAAATGGCATAAAATGAATCTGTAATATGAAATTGCCCAGAAAAGGGACTTCTGTTTGTGACATGAGGCTAAATCTAACCAGATCCATTGGTGAATTGTGACAGATGGAGGGACTGTGAGACAGAAGGCAGGCACTAATCACACACAAAATGACCGGCTTGCCTCAACATGTTCCATGGATTCCAGCAAACTTTACACCCTAATCCATTTTTAGAACAAAAAACATCTGGGCCATAAATCCTCTAATCTGCCAAAACACGCTATTAAATCCCATGATTTGTTGAAAAACACTAAGATTAAAGAAAGGAAATATAAAATGGCTAACTGCCGTGTTAGGAAAGTGTTATTAATACTCTTTCTTTGTCTCAATTATGAATGTTCTGTTCCTAAAGAGCCTTGTCTAATCATGTCAGATTACACATCCTTGTTGTATTGCTAGACTCTTCTATCTGATCTGCTGATTGCCAAAAAACGTAGGACATTGTCTTGCTGCTTAAAACATTTCAGGGGAAGAAGCTGATGTCAGATTAGTTCAGTGCTGYGCTGCTGTCAGGGTTTTAGTTTGGTTTGGGGTTTTATTTTTGTTTTTTTTAGACTGCAGACAGAGTTGGACTGGCATTCCCATCTTCCTTGGAGAGTGAAAACTAGAAAGAAAAGTTTCTGTGTGGTTTGACTGTTGTTAATTGTACTAACAGCTAGCTTTTGGCTAAATCCCCAGGAACCCTGAGAGTTTTATATGAAATAACTTGATCCACATTGCTTTTATCAAATGACCCAGTTCAGTAATTCCCAGCCAATGGAATTCCAGTAATTCCTGCCTTCCCATCATAAGGAAGAATACAGMCTGCACCAGCAAAGTGCTACCAGCTGATTTTACTTTTTTTTTTATTCTCCATTTTACTAATTTGCTTGGTTTCTTCCCCAATTTGCATCTGTTACAGATCAACCTTGTATATAGTCAGAATAAGTTAAAAAGGAAGCAAATAAACAAACAAACAGCAGAATTAGTGCTGCTTTTGCTCCTGTGTAGGTATAATATTTTCAATCTGTAACAGAKATGAATTTGCCTAGGAACTGGAATTCATGCCCTTCTCCAGACTATTTGGCTTTTCCTGAATACTGCTATCTTTGAGACAGTTTGGCACATGACAGTGAATAAAAGCAAGCACTCCTTATGTTTTTCAGTAGCTGCCAAGATGCTGGTGTGCAGGGAAATGATTAATATAGAAGCGAGTTGAATGTAAATTATTGTTGTTTAGGGTAGGTGGTGAATTATTGACAGAGAGGGGAACTGCATTACATAAAATGCACTTAGTTCCAAGGATTGCCAAACTAGCACAGAGATGTTGCAGATAATGGCAAAGAGCAGAGAGAAGTTGTTTCTGTTTTAGTACATGGACATATGCCTGTTCCCAAAAAGAAATGCTTGGATTTAAAGTCATACATGAAGCCATGACATTTGTGACTGCTCAGTCTGTAGCACAATTTCTGTGCTATAGGGATAGCTCTGGAAAGGGCTGTGGAGCGGAGTGCCTGAGTGCAGCACTGCTGATAATCTCTCAGGGTCTGAGTTCATGTCCCCCAAGAAAACTGAACAATACATGGGCATTTCTCCATGCCATGGGAGCCAGGGAGCCTGAAACTGCTTTCAGAGAATGGTTTTAATTCGAAGTTAGTGGTGGTGAAAAGTGACAGCTCAGCTGCATCCCAGCAAGGTGGGCCCTGCACACCTAGGACAGACAACTGATGTCTTGTGCTGACAGCTCCAATCATTCCAGTGGTGGAGGTAACTGTCTGACAAATGACTGTTTCCCAGTGGCTTTTTGTAGAGGGATTTATCACTCAAGATGAGAAAGTGATCCAGTTTAGGGACCCATGTTAGGGACCTTTGTAGCTTTGCTAAAAACGCTATCAAAATTTTTCATGGGGTAGCTTCTGCTGGAGGGTGAATTGAAATTTCATGCTCACTTCAAGATCCCCAAATAGTTCCATGGTGGCAATGAGTCCTGCTTGCTGTGACTTGGGTGGGGTCTGACCTAGCAGTCAGCAGGACACCCTGCAGGGTGTTCAGGAGCCTTTCCTCCTTGCAGTCCTCCTTTAAAGGACAAACCTTTGCTGCAAGTACACTGTGCCCATCCAGCTCCTCTACTAGCTAAAGACAGCTTATCATATATATACAGCACGCACAGTGATACTGCTCAGCAACCTCAAAAAGTCACTTTCTATATTTGTAGCTGAGAGATATACAGCAGTGAACTCTATGTCATTAACAATAACTTAAGTATGTTATCTTTTGCTCCACAGTTTTCCATGGTTTATTAATGGTATAACACATTAATTCTTCTTACAAGAGTGACCTTTAAAGCTCTGTTCATCCTCACAGCTTTTATCCAATTACATTATCACTCATTAAAGRTACAGCATTTCAAAATCTGCATCTTGTTAAAAGAGGTAAATTGCAGGGGTCTCAAACCTATGGAAAATATCAGGTGTGTAGGGAAAGAAGATTGGAGAGGGGAGAACAAGAGATGTCTTGCCACAGAGATACGGGTCAGATGCTTAACTCTCCATCGAAATGTGATGTTCCCTCTACTTAAGAACAAAAATCTAATGTGAAAAAATTGAAATTCAATGCATTGTGCAGGGAGAGCAGCAGGGTCAAACAAATTAAAGATGAAACACATTACTATGTACCACAGTTAAAGTGTAGGGTTAATAACAATACAGACATTAACAATTAGTAATGTGATATTTAAAAAATATTTATATAATTGCAATGTGTCATACCAAATAAATTTTACTGCATAGCACTGCTGTATCAAAGACATAGCTTCTGATAGGTTTGACCTATGGCTTTTTTGGGGCTTTTTTGTGCTATCCCTGAAAGTGTCCAGGCAGGAKATGCTTTAGGAGGAACACAACAGACAGTAGAAAAAGTACATCTGCCTCTCTTAATTCCCAAAACAGAGCTTGATTTACATAATGAAATCTTGATTCAGGTTATACTCAGTCACTTCAGGGAATACAAAATTCCAGTTACAAGGATCAAGAATGGGGTGTGTACACGTTTTCCTTAAACACACAAAGAAGGCCCTTTAACATATCCGACTTTGGAAATCACCACCAAGACTGTTCTTATTTAGATGGCCTTTAGGCAAAGACATAATTTTGGCAGGAGGAAGATTTACTACTATTTTCTGGAGCAATGCTAAAAACAGCCTCATTTCTTTTTGCATACAACATCAAATTTGTGGKTTTTTTTTTTAAATGAACCAGGTGACGGTTTTGCTTAATAAACAAAGGCAAAATAATATTCCATTCAGCATTTGGACGGACTAAGGATTAAACTTGCAATTTTAGAAAGATGTAGACTTGTAACTTTAAGGGACCTTTTTGAAAGTTTATCCATCACTTTTAGATGACATAGTACAATATCACAGGTTTTCAACGCCCACCATTAGACAGGTCACTCTCTTTAACGTGTGCCATTAAACAAATAGCATTTATTAACTTCTATTGATAAAGCAGCATCTTTAACACAGGTTTTTGTTTTCTGAGTCTGTAAAAGTTAAGACAGCCCACCTGAAAGTAAAATCTCTGTAAGCTCCTTCACTGAGACCAACCATCAGGAGTATTATGGTCAACCTATGACAGCTCCTGTCCCACTGCCTAGCAGTGGCTGATAAAATCCCCTTTCCATTAGGACCTCTCCCTCATTATGAGTGGGATTCCCAGACTGAGCTCACCTATTGTGTTGGCTCTGGCCGAAGGACTCGCTAATGTTGCTGGCACAGACGACTTTAGCGAACTGGCCCCGCTGTTTATTCTCAGAGCTGGCATGTGAGGAGAGGTGGGTGATGTGGGAGACTTGCCATCAGATGTCTTGGGTTTGGCTGAAAGGTTCAGAGGCTGGGCCACTTCATCCTATGTCAAGCAGAGGAGAGAAGAATGTTATCACCAAAGTGCTGTTGGCACAACACCATCCAAGAGAAGACGCTGGCTTCAGCTCATATGAACTTCTAAACCTGAGAGGTTGGATGATATAAGTGAAGATCAAATATGATACCATCTTGTCACTCCAGTTTGGAACTGAAATGACTGATAAACTGGAAAATTAGTCTGACATGATCAGAGAACATCATCCATTTGCACTTTGTATGAGAGTTGTCTCTGAAGAAATTATTCCCATCAACAAGACACTTGCTTCTATCGGCAAAACAAAGAGCAATTTTACAGTTAYGTTTTATTTTGAATCTTATATTCAATAATGAATCAAAAAGCATCTTTACTTAAAATTCACTTAAAAGTCACCATGAGCCAAACTGGGCAAACAAGTTTAAGTGAGGGGGGGTTCAGTTGGTTTTTTTAATGGTATTTTTTTTTTTTTTGGTGCATTTTTCTAGTGTTTTGTTTCATTTTAACTTGTACTTTCCCCTGTAACTTCCCAGGCTTAGAATTCTGAGGACAACAATACCATAGAAAATAAATACTTCTCTTCCACCTTCACAAAATCTGACAAAATGACCTGGATAATTCTGCACATAGCCCTAGATGTTTTTATCTTTTGCAAGGTTGAACTTCTAATTTCTAGCTTTCTAGCAATTATTATTACTATGCAAAAATAGGAAAATGTTTTGCAGGGTAACTGGAATTATTCCTAAACCTGGCTTGATTACATAGACAGAGAGTGCTATAAAAAACATTAAAATGCCAAATAATGTATTTTTGTTTGACCAAAGTAAAATACAGTAGAAAAAAAAGAAAGAAAAAAAAAACAACAGAGAAAGGAGAAAAGGATTTTCAACAAGGGGAGCATTTTAGAAATGATTTTAACTGACTTTTAAATAAGCAGAACTAATGGATATGGTATTAGATCAAATCATCACATAAGAGCTTAGTCTTCTCTGACACTGCGACTTAGGAAAGTCATCCTTTAGCTACGAGGAATGTTACATCAGACAACTGGGTTTCAGCTCTAGGCACTGAAGAAACTGATTCTGATCTCTCCAAATTGTAAGTACATTTAGTATAGAATTGTTCCTGACTTACAACAATACAAAGCTGAGTGAGATCGGACTTGCAATGTTTGAGTGTTTTACTGTTATCACCAAAGTATCTGCAACTATCATGTAACACTGATTCTCTTCCATGGAGTGGGGTGTGCTGCAGTAAAGAAGGAATTTTATATCTGCCTATTGYTTGTGGAAGTATGATGTAGATACCTCCAAAGCACAATAATATAACTTTTCCCTTGCCTCATAGCAAAGCACCTTTGTTATATTTGATTATATTTCTACGTTTGGTTATATTTCTGCACAGTTTGGTAATAGTCATAGCAGATAAACATTATCAGAGGCATTGTGGACAAAGCTGTCATCCTTAAAGTGATGCTGAAGCTGTGCTAGAGGCAACTTGTGCATAAAATAAATGGGAAAAAAATCAATGCATAAAATTGCCTTAGGAGCGTACAGACTGTACTCTCAGAAGTGATTTAGGCACCTAGATGGCAGAGTTCTGTTGATCTCCTAGGAGATTTAAGCTGCAGGGTTAAAAATGTCACCAGTAAAACCAGTATTCGACATTTTTAGAAGGGATTAGCTATTTTACAGAAATACAAATCCATTGTATTAGAATACAATAGATAAAGATAAAACAAAATAAAATTAGAATAGAACAAAATAAARTACTGGCCAAATGGAAGGGAACTTGCTTTGATGTTGCCCCAATTTAAATTAAAAAAATAAAGAAATCTCACAACAGTCCAACTATAATGTTGTGAAATCAGTACTGAGGCAGTTGCATGAAAGTTGTAAGTACAAATGAGCCAACAAACCAACCAAACACAGTGACCTTGTGCCAGACAAGGATCCCTGAGTAACAAAGTAATGTATTTGGAAGACAGCATGAGAAGCAAAGCAAGCCTGCCCACAGACTTGTTTCAGTTTAATCCAAGTGGGGTTGGTTTCCATGTACATTGGCTCCTTGACCTCTGCTGTAAGGCTCGACAAAAGGGGCTGATTGGTGTCAGATATGGCACTAAAAGGTGCAATATGCTCTCCGCCCAAAGGAAATCTGCCTGAGCACAGCACCAGCTCAGAAGGAGCAGCAGCCAGTCCCTGATGGGAATAGTTCCCACACTGCAAAGGCAGCTTGGATTCCAACCTGCATCCTCAWAATGGAAGGTATTTTCAATCTCATCCTTTTGCCTCAGTCCCTCAGTTATCCTGTACCTATATTAATTTCCTCCCCTCTCTTGCTCTTTCTCCCATTTCTCAGCTCTTCTGTTCTTTTTTTTTTTATGCYGGAGTGAAGGCAAGGTCTTGTCCAAGCGCACTATACAACAGTGGTTCTGATCTCGTTTAATGCTTTTTCCCCCATTGTAGGCATCCAGCAATGAGGCTGGCTGTGTGGTAACTATTCTTGGTAGTAAGAATGCTCTTCTTCATTCAAGTCAGCACAGCCTTCTCTGGAGCCAAGAAATATAAGGCCTTGTGGAAATAATAGAAGTCGACAGTTCCAGAGCTGATAAATGTCATTCCAAATTGCCCCTTCATTCACTTTCATTGTGTGYTCAGGCTAATGGTAAATTAATCGGAGGTCACAGAAGCTTGGTTCTCATAAAGGAGGATAAGTAAACAATTTTCAGCTATTATATGTATTTACAAAATGATATTGCTTCACTGTTTRGTCTTCATAACATTTTTACTTCTGTTATTTCAAGCAGCATTCTCAAATCCTCGCTGGAAGTCAAATGCATTAAAAATTCAGTCAGACAGTTTAGAAATCCTATGTTGCATCGTCAGTTGGTAATAATTTAAGTAATTTCCTTTACAATAGTGGAACTACACTGATTTATTCCAAAGGACTCTAAAAAATACCTGGGGGACAGGTAATAACATACAATTGTGTTAAGTGTGAAGATGACTGTTAAGATCTTCACTTCTATAGTCAGTGGAACATTTTACTCTTTTCACTTTCATAATCAAGCCATAAATTCAAAACCCTCTGCTCTTCCAGCTTAAATCAAGAACTATACTGTCTTCATTATTGATCTGAGCCTGTATAACCACAAGAAGAATTAGGTGTTAGTCTACCTTTATTTTTTAACTATAAAATCTCCCAGCTAACATTCTGCCACATTACAGATTAGCAGAATTCTCTCATTATGCCAGGGCTGTGTGTAAGACAGCTCAGGMAAGTAAGAGGCATAAAAGATAAAAAACAGACGTAGCATCTTCACTTCAGGTGGATGCTATCTTTCGATTTTATACAGTGGATCACAGAATCTAGAACTACTCCTTTCACTCAGTTTTTATTACATAAAATATTGATTGGTCCCTGCCTTTTTTTTGAAATGCAGCTATTCTAAGATGACATTGATAAGGTGGGGTTTTTTTCCCCAAGCCAGTATTTTTTTAAGAGTTAGTCAAACATTTATTTATATATCAGCCAAAACAATTAATGCTGAGACTAGAGGACGTTAAGACCCAAAAGGCTTGCAATAATATAAACACAGATGTGATGAAAGCAAAATATGATCTTGATTAAAGGTTATGAAATGACTCTTTTAAAGTAGCATATTTGTCTTACACACACACACACACACACACACACACACACACACAAAATAAATGTAGAGAATAAAGGATAAGCAAAAACACATGAAGGAGGGCTATTAAAATGTACCCACAGAAAGCACAGCATTGGTGAAGAGATTCCCATCCCCTGTTGCACAGCAGAGTCAGAACAGTTGTTGTTTTAGGACACAACTGATTTGCTTCCCAGGACTGAAAGACTCATTAACCAAAACTTGAATTCAGGGAACTTTAAATCCGTGATTTGCTCTAGACTTTTTTTTCCCAGGTTGATCTCTAGGTATTTGAGGAAAGAAAAAACCCTTCACCTACACCAGCATTTGGGGGGTGGTAAATAAAATATTCAGGAGCTGTATTTTGTAGCTTCACTCAACCCGGATTAGTATAACTTTGAGCTGTCATATTTTAAACGTTAGACACAGAAAATCTCTGGGTTTAAGTGCCTGACATGCAACACATAAACAGAAATGCTGCTGGCAAGTTGAGTGTACATCACACTGCTTTTCTAAGGTTTGTATGGTCCTTTGAAAAGGTAAAATGCTAGGTTAACACAAAGTGCTTATTAACATGGGAGGAAAAAATGAAAGAGAGGGAAAAGGAAGGGATTTGGCCACAGTCGTACTGTGACAGCGGCAGAGCTTCAGACAGACCCAGGAATTCTGACTCGCAGTCACCAATCTTGAAATTGTTGGCTGAAATGGTGYCTTTTCTAATCTTTCCATCATGCTGTCTCTATTTACTTCCTCCTAGGATAAAAGGTTAATTCATCTCTATGGAGAACAGATAGGGAAAAAGAAGGGGATAAAATCTGATTTCGAGAAACTCTCTAAACCATTTATTAGAAATGGCACTATTTCAACACCAAGAGCTGAATAAAAGACTGACTGATAGCCCAGATGAATGAACCAGTCTCAGAGAATGAAAAAAGGGTGGTGTGGGGGTGGGGGGCCATGGTGAAGAACCCAGACAATTCATTAGGATTTGATAATCTCACTCCTTTTCACATATTTTAAGATTAGTGCACTATTAAAATACAGTTACTGAATTATAGTACTGTCATTGAAAGCCAAGTGCTGGATCCCACTGTGGCACACGCTGAAGGTCCAGGTTGCAGGGTTTATTACAAAATCATGAACTACTCTGGATATCATCTGACTGGCAATACAAATGTGCTTAAATGACCTGGCATAAGCACAGCCCAGCCTGCTCTGCTAAAGAGGCTTTTCATGACCTCTGGGAACACATTCACCACATCTTGCTGCCTATTTAAATGACCTTGACAGTACAAATTACAGCCAAATGAGTTAGAAATAAGAAGCCAGCGAGGGG